AGCAGCTGATGACTTTGTTGCTATCCTATGGTTAAAATCTGTGCCTGTATTGGAGATGCAGACCATCTGAGCATCATATGATTTTACTCTAAGTCTTAAGCATCTTCATCAATCATTGTCTGGCATCTGAGAAATCTCCTTTAGGTGTCAAGAATGTCTATTCAAGTTCCAGTGGCTCCCAGGCATATTACAAAAATTAGTTCGCTGTTTATAATCGATTTGAAATGGAATTTGGCATTCTACCTTGAACAGCCAGCTAAATCCAAAGGAAGTGACTCTTACCTACCAACCAGATGATTGCTGGCTACATTGATTATTCAGAATACTTTTAGAAGATCCGAAAAATACAGGAAAGCAAAACCAAAGGATTTTTAAGGATAGATTTTCTTTTCCTCTGCCCTCTGGTTTCTTGATGTGTAATAGATGCTGACATATCTTTGTTCGGTTAATGTTCCTTGTCCTGGAAGGAACAAGACATGTACGTGGGAGAGCTTTGTTCTACCTCCCAATGATGCTTCTGTTTGCAGACCAAACAGTTGACTTTGACAGATATCTGCAGATACCTTCAGGAACTGATGTTGACTTTAGGGTAACAGACAATCCCTTTTCTTGGCAAAGAGTTTTTGTCCCTCTGCCAGTTCAAATGAGGCTCCCCTTTTGTTCTGGGCAATAACAAGCTGCTTCTGCTGCTTTCTCTGGGTTACTCACAGACAAGGCCCAACTGTTTGATATATATCAGCTGAGAGATAAACAAAAGCCCAGCCCTAAATCTCAAATAACAAGAGGAAGAAGGACGCCTCCTTATCCACCAATCTCTTTATCAAGTGCCCGTTGGGTCTTAGAATGGACTCCAAGCACTTAGTGGACTGGGGCCTTATTGCACAGTTTACGATACATGATATTAGAAATCCTATAGTTGTTGGTGAACGTGAAGATGTACCTACGATATTTGTAAAACCATCAAGGTGATCACTCTTTCAGTATGCTAGCTAGACCTTGAAGACTGGCCCCATAGGCAGTAGGTCTTGTATGTGACACACACGTAACCTGTGTGTTAGGAGGAAATGACACCTATTATTAGTAGGTATTGCCCCATTAAAAAAAAAAATCTCTGCCTCTTAGAATTACTTGTTGGTGAAGTGTCTTGAAAAGACTCTAACCATATGATTATGTTGTCTGCCATTCTCAGATCTGGTAAGTAATTGTAGTCTTTTTTTTTTTTTAATTATTTTTTATTTTAATTCTGGTATAGTTAACATACAGTGTTCATTTCCCCACGCTCGCTGACCATACACCACACACTGAGCTTTGGACATTCTGTGTTGTGACAGACTTCCTGTCGGTGCTGGCCAACTAGCTGTAACAGCCTGCACGCAGCTGCACACATAACTTTTTATGGACGGGCCAGTAAAAAGCCTACTAGAAGCAGGGAATTCTGATTTTAAACAAGAGTCACAGGTCAGGATTCCAAATGAAATTTTAGCATGCCCCAATTTGGAGAATTTTGTAAAAATTACAGATAACGGTATTTGTGAAGTGCCTACTGCAATGTCTGTCACACACACTGAGTTGCGGTTGTCTTTATCATTTGACATTGTCCATTTTTTGGTTTGCCCTATGAATTTAAGGTTTAGTCACCCTGTCATTAATCTCACAAAGACATACCATTCTTTCAGTTCTAGCAAAGTCCTGAGTGTTTGGTTTTCTTTTCTCCTTTTCGTTATGACACACAGGAATGTGTGAGAAAAGTGGTGCTAGAGACAGTCATCAGTCATTGATTTGCTTTTAGATAAAACACCTGAATCTTCCTAAATCTGTAAAGTTTTGTTCAGAGACATGCAGAGGTTCAGATTCTGTTTTTTTCCCCCACGCTTAACAAGTCCTATTACCAGAAAAACTCTTCCTCATGTCAAGCATAAGTAACTGATCAAGCTAGTGTTCCCCCTGTTCTGGCTCAGGGAAGATGAAGAGCTCCAAAACAATCCTGCCTTTGTGGGAAGAGTTTATATTCCCCACTTCTCCCCCCAGCCTCCAACCCCCCAGTCCAAGGATCTGGTTTTTAAATTTCAGTGTACAACAGCATACATATTTTGGTTTCCTGGAAGTTGCCCACATATTTACTCAGCCTTTGTCCAGATTATACCAGGGGAAGTAAAACCATCATCTAATTGAGTTAAAATCATAGACACTAAATTAAACATTTCTAATATATTCATTGGTAACTCTGATACTCAATTTTTATTGAGTAGTGTGTTTGTATGCTCATTCTTTTTTACTTTTCAATAAGATAATTGTTTCCATATATCGATATTTGATACTGTTTCATTTATAACTGTGGGATATTTTTCATATTAAACCTCTTCTGGGCTACATAGAGGAAATAGTTATAAATAAATATTTCTCAGGGTTTGGTAGATACATTGTAAAAGCTTCCATTCTGCCTAAGATTAGCCATGGTAATTCTCTGATTTCCACAAACTTAAGTACTAGCTGTTGAAAAAAATGTTTTAGTCCCTTAAGATAGATATATCACTTTCATAATTACTGCTTATTTTCAGAGTGGTACAATAACAAATTCCTTTCTGACTAGTGACTTCTATTCATGGATGTAGTGCTATAAAATAATCCACCCTTATCATTCATATTTCTGGGCAGTTGAGTAAGGTAGGAACTATTTTTGATATGCAGGAGCAAATACTGAAGCAGTGGGGTTACACTTTCTGTCAACAAAGATGTCGAGTGCCAGAAAACCCTGATAAGTCCCATTTTAAGCACGTAGAGTCTGGATAATACCAAACTACGAGACAAGAGTCCGTGCATATGAACTGGCAGTCCCACCAAAGCGAATTACCATTCGCACCCAAAATAAATACCCTGAAGTTTAACAAAGCTAGGTCATCCATCTGCAAGGTATGTGGCAGCTTTAGCTAGTCAGAAACCTTTTGATTTGTCAAAGCAATTTTAAACTACTGCCATTTCTCCAAGCCAGAGGTTAAAAAGGTCAAGGGGAAACTTTAAAAGATGTGATAACGCTGTCTTGGAGTTGGGGGACATCTGGTGTTTGCTAATAAGCAAATGACAGAGTGAATGAATGTTGATGAGGTGTGCTCTATTCTGGAGCCGCCCCTGAGAACAGAATAAAGAGCAGCTCTCCTATTCTGACTTGACCACTACTATGCTGTCACTGGGAAAAGTAACTTTTAAATTCTTTGGACCTCCGTTTCTCCATGTGTAAAAGAAGATGACTGGAGGGCGCCTGGGTGGCTCAGTTGGTTAAGCGACTGCCTTCGGCTCAGGTCATGATCCTGGAGTCCCGGGATCGAGTCCCACGTCGGGCTCCCTGCTCAGCAGGGAGTCTGCCTCTCTCTCTGACCCTCCCCCTTCTCATGCTCTCTGTCTCTCATTCTCTCTGTCTCAAATAAATAAATCTTTAAAAAAAAAAAAAAGAAGATGACTGGAAAAGATGGTTTTTCAGTTTCTGTCAGGCTTCTTCAGAGAATAGATACAGGATCTTGGTTCAAATGATCATTTCTTGAGAAAAAAAGCTATAGTAAAAATGGTTCAGTTTAGTTTATAAACCCATGCATTATCTTTTGTTAATGGACAAAGTGTCAGTTTTTTAGGTACAGTAAAAATTGAGGTAAATCTTTAATTGGAATAGTCGAATGAAAACCAAAGTCACAAAGGATTTTCTTAAAATTAAAAATTCATTGTATCAGCCCAACAACCATTAAATTTTTGTATATCCTTAGTTTAAATATATTAGTCTCATCTCAACTATTAGGTTGAATCATGAAATTACATTTCTGTGGGTTAAAAACAGTCTTGTATCATCAAGTTCATCCTATGGATGTGATTTTCATGGGAAGCAGGGTACAATGCTGTGTGTTCCTTTCTTGTTCCCATTAGTTCTTGATACCATGCTGGGTACATTTGTTCTCTGATATAGTATGTATTGAAAGCAGTATTTTGGGGCAGAAAGCCTTTTTGAAATCACTTAATGCAATATATTGTTTTACAGATGAAGAAAATAAGACCCAAAAAGTTCTCAGAATTGTAGTTCTTTTGATGTTCAGTCTGACAGAAACGTTATAAACAAAAACTTTTGAATATACTTTGAATACTCTACCTACCAGTAAAAAAAAACAAAAACAAAAAACCGGTCTGATAAATTTTATAGGAATAGTTCTTAGCAATTAAGATTCTGAATTTGAAATTTGATCCCCAAATAAATTACCTTGCTGGATTTGATAAGTTTCAATTCTCTGTAAGGAAGCAACCTCCACTTGTAGATGTAGGTACTGTTTATAGAAAGGTGTCATGGCCTAGCAAAATTAGAAATAGACTAAGTGCAAAGATATTTATAGGTCATGCTTTTGACTTAGGTCTTACACACTGTGGAACTTTGCATTCTTGTCACATCTCTCTGCCATTTTAATTATAGAATCATCACATTTTAGAATATCTGGTTTGATATTTGTCAATAATTATTTACACTGAAAGCTACAAAACCCCAAAATAGTAGAGTCCAACATCATGTCTTTACAAATGAGGAAACTGAGGCCCAGAGAATTTAAGTCACTTTAACTTACATAGAGTTAAGACACGGAATAGGTTGGCACTTGGACATCTAGTATACTGCTACGTCAAATGATCCATTTGTTGTTTTAGTTGCAGAGTGTTTGCTTCATATGTACCCTCTCAGAAACAGATTGCAGATTAAGTAAATGATGCTGTGCCCTTGGTGCTTGAAGTGAAGTAGACAGAAAGCTTTTACTGACCCAATGACATGTTATAGGAATATAGTTAGAGGTTGTGTCCAGATTTGATGACCATCAGGCAATTGATAATGAACTGACCCCAGGACCTGTCTGCCACTCTTTTACAAATTTGTCAGTTTTCCGAACACTTGGAAGCAGCATCAATCAAATAAAGCTTTGAAACGAAGCCCTATTAGATACACAGCTTAAGTCTTAACGGTTGGTTGTTTTTCCTGATAGAAACATGAGTTCAGCCGGCCCTGATGGGAGGAAAGTGATGAGAAGGTGTGACGGACTGATCGACTCGCTGGTCCATTATGTCAGAGGAACCATCGCAGACTACCAGCCAGATGACAAGGTGATTCATGGGTTAAATATCTCTTGTTTGAATTACTTACTTTGTCTTACTAAGATGCTTCAGAGGATTCTGGAAGTATTCTGTTTGGGTTTAGCTTTATTCATTAACTCACTTGCTAAGCTTAAAGTTTCCCATCCATGCTTAGAAATATTAAAATCTACCTAGCCCCATTTTTCTGTCTACTTTCCAGACCCCAGTTTACAACTACCTGTTTAACAACTCTATGTAGGTATTTGAAAGGAGCCCAAGAGTTCCGTGTGCAATAATGAACTTAAGTTCATCTCTTCCCTTATTCCCAAACTTGCTCCTTCTCTGAATAATCCTTCTTCTTCTTCTTTTTTTTTTTTAAAGATTTTACTTATTTATTTGACAGAGAGAGACACACAGCGAGAGAGGGAACACAAGCAGGGGGAGCAGGAGAGGGAGAAGCAGGCTTCCCGCCGAGCAGGGAGCCCGATGTGGGGCTTGATCCCAGGAGCCTGGGATCATGACCTGAGCCGAAGGCAGACGCTTAACGCCTGAGCCATCCAGGCGCCCCTGAATAATCCTTCTTAATAATTATCCCCACCCACCAAATGAAAGCAGAAATCTGCATGATCTCTGACTGCCTGCTTGCCTTCGCTCACACCCTGTGTCCCTCAGGCAGCAAACCATGTGCGTGCCACCTCGGAAACACCCTTCAGCTGGCGCGCTCCTCCTCCCTCATGCCGTGACTGCTGCCCTGGTTTGTGCATCTTTCATACTTACCATGCAATAGCTTCCTAACGGGTCCTGCAAACAGTTCTTCTGTTTTCCAGCTCCATGTGGCTACCAAATTACGTATCATAAAATATAGAATCGTCTGAACACACTCTTCAAAGTAAACCAGAAAGGCTCTCCAGTGGTTTAAGAAATCCAGCCTCTACTTCTTAGCATTGTGCTCGTGACCATTCGTGATCTAGCCACACTCATTCCACTCCCCCAGACACCGTGCAAGCACACCCCTCCGCATCTACTAAACTGTGTAAGACCGAAAGCGTAGCACGTCCTGTGGTAGCACACTGCAGAGGGATGTCTGTATGTCTATGATCAGTATTCATCTCCTGTTTTCTCAGGCCACAGAGAACTGTGTGTGCATTCTTCATAACCTCTCCTACCAGCTGGAGGCAGAGCTCCCAGATAGATATTCCCAGAGTATCTATATTCAAAACCGGACTATCCAGACTGACAACAACAAAAGTATTGGGTGTTTTGGCAGTCGAAGCAGGAAAATAAAAGAGGTATGTTGGAAGGACTTTGAAAGAAAAAGTGTGTATGTGTGTATCTCTGAGTACTTAGTGTATGTCGGGCACGATTTTAAGTTGTTTTAATCCTTACATCAACCTTAGGAGGTGTGTATTATTAATATCCTCATTTATTGACGAGGAAACGGAAGTACAGAATGGCTAATTTCCCCCCCCAAAATCCAGGAAATTATAAGAGGGGGTGGAATTCAATCCCAGGTCGTCTGGCTACAGATTTGCATTGTTAACCACTGTACCCACTGCTGTATGCTTTATAAGTTAGGAAATAAGCTTAATACAGCGTAGCCAGTGGTATATAGACTGTGTAACGTTAAAAGCAATGCTGATGTTTAGCTCTGGGTATCCTAAAAGTACATCCATACGAAGGAATACTGTCCCTACTGGCGTTTCATGAAAACTGGAAGAATGTAACCCCTCCTGTTCCTCAGACTATCGTGGTACGTATTTGTGAACTTGGAGAGCAACTGGTAAATTTAGAATCCTGATGTTATCCCAGACAACTTCACAAGACTGAGGGAAGAGGACTGTTTTTCTTATCTCCACAGTGGTTGTGACTAATTTAGCTTTTAGCTTAACAGCAGCCTGAAAACTATTCTAGAATAGCCTATGCTTCATTCTCGAGTTTTCTCTCAGTATGAAATATAAAGTTGGGGTGTTGTTAAGGAGAAATAGACATTATGAGCTAAACGTTAACTGCTTGGAAATCATACATATTTGCTTTTTCATTTCCATATCAGGGGCTTGTTATTAGGCAAATTGTCCGTCTATCTAGACTAAATGGTTTTTCTGGTCCCTTAGTTTGGGTGTGGAATTCTAGAAATCACTGGAAGGCATTAATTCTGGATTTCACTGTGTACGTGGTTAGCAATATCAGGACATGCCGATGCCGGAAGAAAAGAGCAACCCGAAGGGTGTGGAATGGCTATGGCATTCCATCGTGATACGGATGTATTTGTCCTTGATCGCCAAGAGTGTCCGAAACTACACTCAGGAAGCATCTTTGGGAGCTTTGCAGAATCTCACTGCAGGAAGTGGACCAGTGAGTATCACCCCTGTTCTTCTGCTTTATAAAAATAATGACATTGTGGGTCTTACCTACGTTAGGTTCAGAAATGAGACAGTGAAGTAAGGGAAAAGTTTTTTCAGTCAAGACAGTTCTCAGTAATTGCCAGCAAGAGGTCCAGCTTTCTAGGACTTTCAGCCTCAGTTTCTGCAGAGCCAAGTTAGGCTGTGAGTGAAAGGCTCCTAGATATTTATATTAGAGCTCTTTCAGTTATAAGTCTCAGAATCCTACCTAAACTGGCCTGGGCAAAAAAGAGGAGTATCTTGGCCCATTTAACTGGAAAGTCAAGGTGAGTCTCCTTTCTGTCATGGTAGGTAGGTGTCCTAGCAGTTGTAATTATAACTCTATCTCTGGGTTCCCTCTTCCCCTTTTTTATTCTCAAAGGCTCTTCTCATATGATAGCAAAGGTCACCAGTGATTTCAGACTTACATTTTATCTACCCAATGTCCCCACAGAAAAGAAACTACTATTTTCTCAATAGCTCCATTTGGAACTCAAGAAATGAGTCGCACTTGCCCATATCTGAACCTGTGGCTAGGAGCCTGTTGATGTTCTGACTGGCCAGGTCTGGGGGATATGCCCACCTGTGAATTTCAAGGGCATGGGTTTGAGCAGGCAGGGTCATTGCCACTGGGACCACATGGACTGAAATGCTAAAGGAGCTGCTCATTAGCAAAAGGAAGAATGAGTGCTGCCCAGGCAAAAACAACAGATGTCCACTGTGTATGGAGTTGGAAAGGACATCTGTGCTTTTACGTCCCAGAAATTCAACTACAAAATAAAGAGCTGCTTCTCTTCCTGATGCACTTACTTTATACCAGCAAAGTCAAAATATATAAAACAGTAAAAGCTTATTCCTCTCCCTATGTATTTTACACTGTACTACACAGTTAGGATTCTATGAATATTTAGTTATTTGAACTAAGCTTATATTCTTTGTCTTGATCATAAAATTATTAGAATAAACACACACACACACACACAAAGTTGTTCATTATATGTCCAGTTTCCAATTATCCATCCTCATAGAGAAAAGTACTCTTGTAGATAACAAAAATATTATTTATTCTTAAGAAACCATATTCATTCTTTAATGTGTTTACAAAGAAGCTTGCCCTGTTTTGAACAAAATTGTGAAATAACTAAAACCAGTATTTCTCTTATCTTAGCACTGTGGTTAAGAATATGACCAAACTTAGGGCACCTGGCTGACTCATTCAGTAGATCATGGGACTCTTGATCTTGGAGTTGTAAGTTTGAGCCCCATGTTGGGTGTAGAGATTACTTAAAAATAAAATCTAGGGGTGCCTGAGTGGCCCAGTCATTAAGTGTCTGTCTTAGCTCAGGTCATGATCCCAGGGGCCTGGAATCGAGCCCCGCGTTGGGCTCCCTGCTCAGCGGGAAGCCTGCCTCTCCCTCTCCCACTCCCCCGCTTGTGTTCCCTCTCTCCCTGTCTCTCTCTCTCTGTCAAATAAATAAATAAAATCTTTAAAAATATATATAAATAAATAAAATAAAATCTTAAAAGTTTTTTTTTTTTTAATCTCTTTGATTTTCTGCAAAATTTACTTGTGCACAAAGAGGAGGGAACAAGAAACTACCAGGGAGCCCTGAATGATGCACAGTCATCATACCTTCTCATTTTCCCATGCTAGGTTTCCCAAAACCATTTCTTTCACTTTCCCAAACTACGGAAGCCCTCTTATTAACTCCCAGCCGACTTCAAAGAAAACGTCAGGAATTAACGCAGTGTGCACCTATGTGTGTGCATATCTTGAGTTCCCTGTGCTATGAGTATGGTTCAGTACGAGCTAACCCATTAAGCCTGCATTTTAGCCTCTTCCATTCCAAGATCTCTCATGGACTCCAAACAGTCCAGAGATGTTTCCATGTTCCTAAGGATAGAAATATTTATGCCACTTAAGTTCTGAATATGTAGTTTACTACCTAGATCTTAAGTTCCTTTATTCATTTTTTGAGCACCTACTATAGCAGGTACTAACTAGCCTAGTGCTAAGTATGTAGCAGTGAATAAGACAAAATCCCTGTGCTTGGTAATAATCTAACTGGGATAAATACATAAAAAGAAATCTAAGGTACTAGGAGATTCCAAGTCCAAAAGGAGTCCAAGCATTGGAGATATCCTCATAACTGTCCTAATTGTGTCAAGGCATTTAAAATCATACCTAACGTTAAACCAGTCTGGTCCCCTGAAAGGAAGCCTACACTGAACTGGTATGAACCTGTACTCAAGTTGTTAGAGTTTAATTTGACTGGAGATTTATAGGAGAAAATCATTAGCACCATGAGACAGTGAAATGTTCTTTTAAGTTACAAGATGCTTTTTATTAAAATTTTGACATATATATCCTTTCTAATTATTACTTTTCCTAATTTTGTTATGCTTAAATTGTATGATCAAAAATACTTGTTCTTAGAATTTCTAAAAAGAATCATTGAATAGGAAAACACGAAAAGCAAAGCATTTAAAATAGTTTCAGAAAACATCCAGTCCATTAACCTTGTGTTCATAACTGAGATAGCGCTGAGCAGTTGATGGCCATGTGCCTGAAATGGCAAAGAACCTAAACTGAAATGAGTAGCTTCCTAAAAGATTGGTTATGTAATTTAAGTATAAAATTATGACAGTAATTTCTAGTCAGTATTAAACCTTATTGGTTTAGATATAGTGGTCATTCTAATAATAAGTAAGGAAAGAGAAAGAATTAATAATATTTACCCATTTAGCAAACTCTGTAAGTACAGAAATCAAAAGATTAAGGTACAAAAAAAGAAAAGATTAAGGTACAGATTTTCAATTAGAAGATAAGTAAGTCCCGAAGATATAATGCACAGCATCGTGACTACACTTAACAATACTGTATTGTATATTTGAAAGTTACTAGGAGAATAAATCTTAAAAGTTCTCATCATAAGAAGAAAAAAAGTTGTAATCATGTGCGGTGATGAATATTAACTTATTGTAATTATTTTGCAGTATATAGGTATATCAAATCATTATGTTTTACACCTAAAACTATTACAATGTTATGTGTCAGTTATGTATCAATAGAAATAAGTTAAACGTCATATAGCCAAAGTTAAAAGTCATTGAAATAAGCACTTTTCAAATTTCTAAAACACTTTATTTTCTTAAAGATTTTATTTATTCATTTGAGAGAGAGGGAATGAGAGAGGGAGAGCATGAGAGGGGGGTGGGTCACAGGGAGAAGCAGACTCCCTACTGAGCAGGAAGCCCAGTGCATCACTCTTGATCCCTGGAGTCCAGGATCATGACCTGAGCCGAAGGCAAACACTTAACGACTGAGCCACCCAGGCGCCCCCGATTTTTTTTAATATTTAAGTAATCTCTATACCCAAAGTGGGGCTCGAACTCACAACTCAAAGATCAAGAGCCGCAGGCTCCACCAGCTGAGCCAGCCAGGTGCCCCAATACTGAAACAGTTTTAAGGACCTCCTGTCCCCTCCCTGAAACCTATCCTGGGCCCTATATTAAGAACCCCTGTTCTAAAAAGTATAGTGGAGAATGTAAGGAGAGCAGTCTGCAGGAGGTGGGGGAAATAAGCAGTGTTTAGATAAGAGAAACAGAGAAGATAGACACCCTGAAGAATGGTCAAGAATTTTAGGAATTTCTGGCCAGTGGCCTCAAGTTAGCTTCAAATACAAATCTATAAAGTTTTAGATATAAGCTGAGACCCCAGTATTAGAAGTTTATTGATGCTAGGAAGGTTCTGGTCAGTACTCAGACCCCCTGAAAGTAGGTGGCCAGCCTGATTCCAAATATGATTTGCACATACAACCTCTGATTGAGAATGTAAAAGTAAATCTAACTAGCCATACATTCTTTTCTTTAAAAGCCCAATATCTCTTTCAGAATAAGCTGACTTCTTAGAAATGAATAAGTTTACTAAAATATGTAAAATACCAAAATGTGAGCAAGAAGGTGACCAAAGCAACAGCGAGCAAATATGCTGAAATATTAAAGACATCTCCCTTTAAAATTTTTCTCAGCTCAGTTGTCTTTATAGGTAAATTCCACGAGGCCCTCAAAGTTGGGATTATTCTTGTATTAAACAAATAGTTCAAGAAAATAGAAAAAGGAAAAACATTATGCAACTAATTTCATGACACTAGTGTTTGATTCTAAAACATTGTCCTTATATCCTTTTCACAATGCTGAGCTGAAAATGGGAATAAAGAGGAAATAAAAGAAAAGACAGGCCCATTTTATTTATAAACATGCAAAAACATAGAAACTAACCAAATCTAGTGTTCTATTTAAAAATACCAAATAAGGGCGCCTGGGTGGCTCAGTTGGTTAAGCGACTGCCTTCAGCTCAGGTCATGATCCTGGAGTCCCTGGATCGAGTCCCGCATCGGGCTCCCTGCTCGGCAGGGAGTCTGCTTCTCCCTCTGACCCTCCTCCCTCTCATGCTCTCTGTCTCAAATAAATAAATAAAATCTTTAAAATAAATAAATAAATAAATAAATAAAAATAAAAATACCAAATAAGCTGTTTTTATCCTGTAATAAAATTGAAAATGTAATAAGAATTTTTTTTTTAATTTATTTATTTGAGAGAGGCAGAGAGAGCACGAACAGGGAGAGGGGCAGAAGGAGAGGGAGAAGCAGACTCCTATGACCCCGGGATCATGACCTGAGCCAAAGGCAGACACTTAATGAACTGAGCCACCCAGGCGCCCCTGAAAACATAAGAATTTAAAGGAAATATCTTCAGACTAGTTTCATCACAGCTTAGTTTTCAAAACATCTTGCTCAGTCTCTAATAATCCACAGAAATTTAATATTAGCATGAAGTCAAAAGGCAGTACTACTGATAAGACATGTCTCATGCAACAGATGCCGACGTCAGTAGCTCAGACAGTTGTCCAGAAGGAAAATGGCCTTCAGCACACCCGCAAGATGCTGCATGTTGGTGATCCAAGTGTGAAAAAGACAGCGGTCTCCCTGCTGAGAAATTTGTCTCGGAATCTTTCTCTGCAGAATGAAATTGGTGAGTCAACAAACGTGTCTCGATGTCGTGAATACATGTTGAAATTACAAAGGCAGGGAACCATTGTCTTTATCATGTTTTATACAATGACGAACTGAAAATGACAAAAGGAGCGAAATGTGGGAAATAGACCTGGCCTTTGCACCCAGGCATCCAGATCCAGGTAGGCTTTCTCCCTGGGTTTCAAATAGGATTTTTCTTAATATCCAGCATTTTTTTGTTTGAATTACTGCAGAAGAAAAATTTCATCCCTAATTATAACTAACAAGGGAGGTAACACGTCTGATGTTTTTCAGCCATTGGCTGTGCGGTCAGGGGTCTTTTTAACCCGCACAGTTAGTTTAACCTGCTTAAGCACTGCTCTTCTAAAACATTGAAAATATACACACAGCAGTCCTCATTTTAGAAGCTTGGTCCCTGTTGCACTAGAAAAAAATGGATGGACATGCAAAAAGACAAGAAGGAGGAGTCACTGAATATATATTGAATTCGGCATACATTTGCAACGACGTGAATGGAACTAGAGGGGATTATGCTAAGCAAAGTAAGTCTGTCAGAGAAAGACAATTATCATATGATCTCACTCATATGTGGAATTGAAGAAACAAAACACATGAACATAAAGGAAGGAAAGGAAAAATAAGATAAAAACAGAGAGGGAAGCAAACCGTAAGAGACTCCTAACTATAGAGAACAAACAGGGTTGCTCGAGGGGAGGTGGGTGGGGATGGGATAACTGGGTGATGGGCATTAAGGAGGGCACTTGATGAGATGTGCAACTGAGGAATCACTGAATTCTACCCCTGAAACTAATAATACACTATATGTTAACTAAATTGAATTTAAATAAAAAATTTTAAAAATTAAAAAAAAATTTGGCATAGGTGGTTTTACAATGAATACATTGAAACATTTGCTCCCTTTTTTGAGAGTCTATTATTGACAAAGATAACTATGTTACACTATCAAGTAATACAATGTTTTGTTCATTTGCTTTATACACAGAAATGTCTGATAAATGTGAATCAGGTCAAAAACTATAAAATGAGATAATAGGAAGGTTAACACCAAAATCAGTCATGCTTCCTAATGCTCCATAAATTAGTCATTCCTGACAACTCGAAGTTCAGTTTTTCACAAAATTCCACTAAAATTATAGACAAATTTTTGTTTGGTTTTAGGGGATTGGGTTAATTTGGAGTACACACACAGACACACAGCACCAGAGATACTGAAGTCTGTGGTTATGTTTTAATGTCATTTCCAAAGCCAGCCAGCCACACAATATTGGAGAGGTGGTTTCATGCAATGGTTTCCTGCCCATTATAAATATAGAGAGAGCCTGGAAATTTTTCACGAATCTAAAAGAAACCTTGCCCTAGGCGCTCTGAAAATTATGAAAGTGTTCTCATTGTCCTTTGTGGACTTTTGTGCTGCACTTGAATCAGGTGTATCATCCTTTGACTTTTTTTTTTTTCCGCAAAGGAAATGTTGACTCCATCTTTAAGCAGGGCTGATGGAGGTAACCGCCCTGGACGCGTTCTACACATGCCTTCAGGGCAGAAATGCTGTTGTTCCCATGTTCTACCATCTTCTAACTGTTGGGAAGATACAAGTGTAGCCCCACACTTTCCTTTTTTTTTTTCTTTTTTAATATATATATAAACCCTCTATTTAATTCTTCAGTTGAGCAGAAAATGGCCTTAGCAGAGAGAAGGTGTTTTTTGCATTTCACTATACTTAATGTTTATTTATTTTCTTAGTTTGCCTACTTTGAGTGAGTTCTGGCTTTGATACATTACATCTGAAATTTTCTTGGCTCACCTTGGTAATTAGAATAATTACACTTTTTTTCCTCTTAATTTTTAATGGCTTAACAATGTGACTTTTCATCCCATATTTGTCACTTTTAACCAGACCTAGGTAAATGGAAAATCATTGTTTTGGATGGTTTTATTAAAGAACAACTTCAATTTTTTTTAAAAGACGTATGCTCATTTTAAAAATTCAAGCAATTAAGAAAAGCACCACAAATAAAGCAAAAATACTTCCTCTTACCACTCAGAAAACAACCATTGTTACCCTTAGATGAATATTATTCCAGACATCTCTCTATGCCTATGGACATAAGAGTTTAGACAAACAGAAAGATAAATGATATTAAAATTGGATCATACAACATCTAGTGGCTAATTAGAGTTAATTTTAACAAAAGCAAACTAAATGATATAGAATCACTGAACTTTGGATAAATTTTTCACTACATTTCAGGCATGTTTTAGAGACTGTGGTAATGTGTACTCAAGTTTGTCTCAGTCCTGATTTCCAACTTTTGGCCAAACCTAGAAGAATGTCTTGATTGCCCCCGCAGCAATATTAGTCTCCTCAATCTCTAATAGTTCCTCTTTTGTAACATGCGTATGATATGTGTGTAACATGTATAATGTGTATTTTTGTCACCAGCCTGTAAAAACATAAAATGGAAAGAAACAAAGAATGGAAAGAATGAAGGGAAGGAAGGGAGAGAGGGAAAGAGAGAGGAAAGTTTCTATTCAAATGTCTGTATTCCAGTTTGTCATTTTAGTGGTCCTCTTAACTAAAGTGCCATGTAAATTGTAGGTGATGCCCACTGTACATTATAGGGAGGACCAGTGTTTTGTTAAATAGGTCTGGCCTTCTCCTTTATTATGGAATAGGTCCAAAGGACCATTATGGTACAGTCACATCAGGATTTATTATGACCAGCCTGATCCAAATCCTCTCACTAATGAAGTACTTTGCACCAAAAGTATAGTTTTGTTCAGTTTATTTTTTGGAACCTATTATTGTATTGAGGCTTTTATCCATAAAATTCTAATGAGATCATCTTTATTAGATTCTTTGCAATTTTTAAAATTTTAATTCTGGTGTAGTTAACATGCAGTGTTATATTCATTTCAGGTGTACAATGTAGTGATTCAACAATTCTTTACAGTACTCAGTGCTCATCACAGTATGTGTACTCTTAATTCCCTTCACCTGTTTCATGCATTCCCCCCCCCCCCCCCCACCTACCTCCCGTCTGGTAAACATCAGTTTGTTCTCTATAATTAAGAGTCTGTTTTTTGGATTGCCTTTTTTTTCCCTTTGTTTATTTTGTTTCTTAAATTCTACATATGAGGGACACCTAGGTGGCTCAGTCAATTAAGTACCTGCCTTCGGCTCAGGTCATGATCCTGGGGTCCTGGGATCGAGCCTCATATCGGGCTCCCTGTTCAACAGGGAGACTGCTCCTCCTCTCCTTCTGCTATTCCCCCTGCTTGTGCTCTCTCTCTGTCTCAAATAAATAAAATCTTTTTTTAAAAAAAATCTACATATGAGTGAAATCATATGGTATTTGTCTTTCCCTGAGTGACTTATTTCACTTAAGTGTTACACTCTCTAGCTCCAACCATGTTGTTGCAAATGACAAGATTTCTTTCTTTTTTTAATGGCTGAATAATATTCCATATAATGCATATATACACACACACACACACCACATTTTCTTTATCTACTCATCTATCCATGGGTATTTGGGCTGCTTCCATAATTTGGCTACTGTGAATAATGCTGCAGTAAACATAGTGGTGCATGTATCCCTTTGAACTAGTGTTTTTGTATTCTTTGGGTTAATACCCAGTAGTGCAATTACTAGATGGTAGGGTAGTCCTATTTTTAATTTTTTGAAGAATTTCCATACTGTCTCCCACAGTGGCTGCACCGGGTTGCATTCCCACCAACAGTGTACGAGGGTTCCCTTTTCTCCATATTCTTGCCAACACTTGTTGTTTCTTGAGTTTTTTTTTATTTTAGACATCTGACGGGTGTGAGGTGATACCTCATTGTGGCTTTGATCTGCATTTTCTTGATGATAAGTGATGATGAGCATCTTTTCATGTGTCTGTTGGCCATCTGTCTTCTTTGGAGAAACATCTGTTCTTGTCTTCTGCTCATTTTTTAATTGGATTATTTGTTTTATGGGTGCTGAGTTGTATAAGTTCTTCATATATTTTGGATAATAACCCTTTATCAGATATGTCATTTGCAACTATCTCCTTCCATTCAGTAGGTTATCTTTTAGTTTTGCTGGTTGTTTTTTGCTGAACAGAAGCTTTTTCATTTGATGTAGTCCCAATAGTTTACTTTTGCTTTGTTTCCCTTGCCTCAGTAGACAGATCTAGAAAAATGTTGCTACAGTCGATGTCAGAGAAATTACTGCCTGTGCTCTCTTCTAGGAATTTTATGGTTTCAGGTCTCACACTGAGGTCCTTAATCAATCTTATTTTTGCGTATGGTGTAAGGAGGTGGTCCAGTTTCATTCTTTTGCATGTTGCTGTCCAGTTTTCCCAACACCATTTGTTGAACAGACTGGTATTTTCCCATTGCATATTCTTACCTCCCTTGTCAAAGATTAATTGACCATATAATTATGCATTTGCTTCTGTGTAGCCCCATGCTTTCATAAGATGATCCCCTGATAAAGCTCCTCTCATTTCAAAGACAGTATCGAGAAGAGGCTTCTGCAAGATAAATGCAATTTTTAAATTCCAAATCAGCTTTATGTCAGATACACAATTTGAGTGACAGGACCCATCTTGATTTAGAGTATTCATAGCCAGGAATAAATGAAAATCAGTTTGAAATACATGAATCGCATTCTCATGAGAGACTTCTAGACTAAAACTTTCCATATGTTGACCTGGAATGAAATCCTCACATATTACTCAGATTTACAGAAATAAACTTAAAACTTACGTTTTACTGGGGCACCTGGGTGGCTCAGTTGGTTAAGCGTCTGCCTTCGGGTCAGGTCGTGATCCCAGGGTCCCGGGATCGAGCCCCGCATCGGGCTCCCTGCTCAGCGGGGAGTCTACTTCTCCTTCTGACCCTCCCCCTGCTTGTGCACACACACTGTCTCTCTCAAATGAATAAATAAAATCTTTTTTACAAACTTCTGTTTCCTTACAAATTTAAAGATA